AGTCTCAAGTAATAGAATGAGACAGATGTGTACATCTCTTTGCAATGATGAAAGGGATGTTCTAGTACTATAGTGGTGTATGAAGTCATATAGGTAGCCTGAAAAGAAGATGTTAAATGTTTAGAGGAAGGCCTTGCTTGCTTAATTCTCTGTTCTATGCCTGGCAATGCTGGTAACTGTAGCTGCACAATAATCTCCACTGTGAAACAGATTTTATTTCCAACAAAATGTTTGGTGAACTGCAGGTAATTGTCACCAAGTTGGTGTGAGGAAGAGAACTGTTTCCTTTAGACACTCAGCTCAACTCTAAGTAACTCCGTAGCGATTTATTCTGTTCAGGCTCCTTCCCTGAATATAGTACCAAAAGAACTCAACCCTAAACAGTAGAAACCAGGTATTTTGAGATACCTAAGGCAATGAAAACCATCCTAACAACTGACTGAATGCAAACACAACAAAAGGAGTGCTCACCTGGAAATGAGATTGGGTGCAATAATATTGAGACTGAGTGGCTGCCCCAGCTCACGTGCTAGGGATGCAATGAGAGGAAGAGGAGATGCAGTTGGACGCGTCAGGGAAGATAAAGCACTCACTGCTCTGCCTAAGTCTTGGCAGTATCACAGTTGCAGAGCTCAGTGAAGCATGATCCCTACATGCTGTTGAGGTAGGAGTGCAGAGAGACAAGTGACCTCTGTGACACCAGGAATGGTATAGGAGGCACTTAAAAAGGTATCACTAATGTCACTGAAAACCAGTGAAGTTCTTCCTTTCAGAGGATGAAAAGAGAGTCTGAAGAGGCACCTCAACCTCTTGCTCATTGCTTTTCACACTGTGTCCAAAGCATCCATGTTGTCTAAAACTCTTGCCTAGGAAAGTTACTTAGAGTGATGTAATATTCCCCTTAAAGTCACTTTTATCTCTCTTTCTTCAAAGGAACTGATTCATTAGTGTTGCTGTGGAGTTGTCCTTGATTTTAGTCAAGAGGCAGGCACTCCCCTTGACAGGAGACCTATTATCTTCACTGCTTCTGCTAGATGGACAGTGCATTTCAGAGTCACTTAAGTGTCACAGTTGGAAGCTACAAATAAATCTGTGGAGTAGAGCATCTCATAAACACCTTTTCATGGAAGAAAGTGAGAGAAAAGCACCACTAGTGATTCCCAAACTGAAGGGAAATCAACTGTATCAATCCATGCACTAGATTTTTGCAGTATCTTTCTCCCTGTTAGGGACCTCCTATGATTTGCAGCAGAATGGTTTGGGCAATAATTAGGAGGCAACCAGAAAATTTGAAAATTCCTGAAAAAAACTTATAAGAAAAAAAAAAAAAAGAGGGGAGAAATGATTTAAATATTTAATGATGTCATCTTTTCTTTTATGTTACATGATATTATAAAACTATGCTATCACAAGCTGTAATAGCATAATAGGATAAAATTGGATAACTGAAGAGACCTGTGCATGAGATTTCCCTATAATGGAGCACACTAATTTGGGTGGGGTTTTTTGTTTGTTTGTTTGTTTGTTTTTTGGAGGAAGTAAGTGGAATACATTTTTTTTTGTTAGTTTGTGATAGTCAGTCCTATTTCAGTAAAGTGACTACCATGGGTACTGTAAGTGGTAAGTGTGCTTGGACAACTGGATAGTCACAGCTGATGATCTAAAATGTGTTACCCTGCTTTATTCTAATTTTACAGACCGTATGCCTTTCGTGTGGAGACCATCACTGTATTTATGAAAAGCATTATGGAGGAAGCAAGAATGCAGTTAGGACACTTTAAACTGAGAGAAAATGAGTATCTCTGCTCTGTAAATGATGAAAAAAAATGTCTGAAATGAAGTAGATGCTGACATTCAGAAAGAATTGTACCTGCAGCTATTGAATTCCCTATCCATTTTTGGCACATTAGATACATGTAATTTGCTTCCTCTGTATTAGCTCTATCTATATATACACAAACATTCTCTGCATTACCTAATCTTGGAAAGACAAGCAATATGTAATGATCTGATTCATAAACTGCAGAAGTAGTGTTCTCACCATTGATGATGACAATGAATCATTCAGACTGAAATACCGGCTTGCATTACATCTGTTCTGGTATTACCTTCTGCTGCTTACAGCAGTGAGGGGGAGCTCTGTTTGAAAATGAGAAACTGAGTGGTCTGAAAGACAATATGCTGCAAACAGGGCATTCAGATGGCATTGCCCTTTTTACTGACTTTCACCAAGACTTCGTTTGTTTCAAGTCTGTAAGTACTGTAGAATAGTATTGTAAAATATAAAAAGGTAGCCTAGCTGTATTTCTTCCTCTCAGAATACTTGGTGAGTGACACAGCATGAGCATTGCAGTCCTTGCCCATTATGGGTTGTTTCCTAGAAACGTGTTGGCCAGGGGGCTCCAAGGAAGTTCTACGAGATCCCACTCCTTCTCTCTGTAGCCATGCCATGTGGTGAGCAGATCCAAGCAAGCATTTTAGTTTACCAGCTCTGAGTCTTCATTTGCTTTAAATATTTAGTGCAAGCTGATTGGCTGCCCATTGTCTGCGAGAGATGGAGGAATGGAGGAGACTAATTTGGCTGAGATTGTGCAAGTGCAAAATGATGATTATGGGATTTGTGAAGCAATGCTGGCAATTATGCAAGTGCCAGAAGGGAGGAAGCACACTTCCCATTGCCTGTGCAGTGGCAGCTGGCTCCTGAGTCTGTACCTCAGCAAGCATAGTAAAAAGGCAATGGTGTCACCTAGGCTACTGTGGGTGTGCATGCCATCAGCTCCTTTGTGGGTACCTTGAGAACCTTTAACAGGTACTGAAGAGTAGCATGCACCAGACTGCTATGAAGCAGTTCTTCTGGGCCTGTTCCTTGTTGAGATGGGTGAAGGATACATCTGCCTGCTGAGCAGAGCTGCTCTCTAGGAGGCCACTGCACCTGTGCACCAAGCTCTGTGCTGGCAGCCTGCTGGGTTCTTCAGACAGTGGCTTCCATATACAGCTGACATGCTCTGGAAGGCTGAGGACATACCACCATTTTCTGTCTGCTCAAGGGGTTGGGTTGATGCTAAGTGCATCTGGAGATCAGGGTGCATTAAAAAGAGCATGGCCAGCAGATGGAGGGAGGTGATTGTTTCCCTCTACTATGCCCTGGTGAGGCCACATCCAGAGTGTTGTGTCCATTTCTGGGCTTCCCAGTTCAAGACAGGGAACTTCTAGAGAGTTCAGTGGAAGCCACAACGATGATGAGACCCAAAGCATCTCCTTTATGAGGAAAGGCTGAGAGCCCTGGGGCTGTTCAGCCTGGAGAAGGTTGAGAAGGGATTTTATCAATGCTTATAAATATACCCAAAGGGTGGGAATTGTTGTGGATGGGGCCAGGCACTTTTCAGTGGTGCAGTGACAGACTAAGGGGCACAACGCAAAACATGGGAAGGTCCGTGAGAACATGAGGGAGGTCTTCACTGTGAGGGTGACAGAGCACTGGAACAGTGCTACAAATAAATCTGTGGAGTAGAGCATCTCATAAACACCTCTGCTGAGAGGTGGTGGAGTCTCCTTCTCTGGGTGTATTCAAGAGCTGCCTGGGCACCCACATTGGTAGCCTGCTGTAGGGAGCTGCCTTAGCAGTGGGGTTGGTCTTGGTGATCCCAGGGGTTCCTTTCAACCCCTGTGGTTCTGCAACCCTGTGCTTTTCCTCTCAGGGCTCTCAAGGCACACGAGTGCACCAACTGACGGAAAGACTTGCCAAGTAGAAACTGTTAGACTTTGTCCTGATCCAAAAACACATCCTATCAGATATTCGGATGAGCCTTGTGCACTGTGGTATTTGCATTCACTTTCACACGTGCCACAGATCACGACAGAGAGTCTCTGTGGTACCTTTTATCAGATGGGGCTTAATTGCGAGTCTCCAAAAAATCACGAACCAGAAAAGGCGATTGTTCTCCCTTTGACTCCAGGCGCATGTCATAGCACTACAGCTGAAAGCCGATTGCTAGAATGACACCCAGGTGCCGCTAGACGTGGCGCTGCTTGCCGCGACCACGCGTGGAAGCGTGACTTCATTCCTATCCGCGCGGCACCCCGTCGTTAGACCTGCCCCCCGCTTCTCAGCCTTTCAGGTGCGTGCTCGAACGCGCTCCACGCGCACACGTTCAGGTTCCCCAACAACCGAAATTCACGGCGCTCAGACGACCGCCCCTCACCCTGCCGATCGCCCCCGCTCCGTAGCCCTGCCGGAGCCGCTCCCGGCGGCGAGGGGGGCCCGGCTGGCTAAGCGGAGCAGCGCTGCCGGGTGCCGCCGGTGGCTGCGAGCAGGAGCGAGGGCGGCCGCTCCCCGGTCCCGCGGGCCGCCCGCCGCCTCGCCCACGCGCGGGCCGCCTCCCCGCCTCCCGCGGGCACTTCCCCTGCACGGCCGCGGCCAGGGGAAGGCG